TGCTGTTATAGCAACTTTGTGCTTGGACAGACATTCTTGGAATGTGAAAATGTCAAAACTTCCAAGAAATCCACCGATTCTAAATTCACGTTTCTGGGCAATGCATCCTTCATTGAGCAGATATCCGTACAGTATTTTTTATCAGTACAGTGAGTGATCGGTTAACGAACAGATCGGATAACGAACACTTTCGCGAAAGATTTTTATGTTCGGACAACGTACACCTCACAGAACAAATACAAGAAGAAGCGATGTAAAATAATGAATACCGATTGGTCTTCCCATGCTTCGGGCAACTATTCGAAACTTTTCGGAATGTGGGAAACGTCGACATCAACGCTCAAGCCGGTATATACCGATCGGATAGTATTTCTCCGAACTTTGAAACTCTCCCTTGTAATTCCAACCTTTTATTTTTCTGACAAAATATTGTTTTATATATTCCCGAGACTGTCGGGTAGGCACTCGTTAAGTTTTGCATCTGTTTTTCTTTTCGAAAGGTGAGAGTATAATAGCAAAGGTGGGCAGAAGATGCCTAATGTTGCTGGACAGTATGGCGTAAACAGGTCTACAGTAGGCCGCAGTTCAATCTTATTTAAGAAAAATACTGTATAATCCAGAAGAATAAAGGAGTAACAAAAATCACATCTGAGAAATAAACAACAACAAAGAGTTCATAATGGAACCTGAAACGGATCTGACGACAGAAGAACGCTAAGAACTCGTGAATGAAGAACAAGAATCGGCGAGGTATGTTTTCTTCTGAAAAAGAGGATTAATGCCGATATCTGTTATTAAAGANAAATCGGATAACGAACACTTTCGCGAAAGATTTTTATGTTCGGACAACGAACACCTCACAGAACAAACACAAGAAGCGATGTAAAATAATGAATACCGATTGGTCTTCCCATGCTTCGGGCAACTATTCGAAACTTTTCGGAATGTGGGAAACGTCGACATCAACGCTCAAGCCGGTATATACCGATCGGATAGTATTTCTCCGAACTTTGAAACTCTCCCTTGTAATTCCAACCTTTTATTTTTCTGACAAAATATTGTTTTATATATTCCCGAGACTGTCGGGTAGGCACTCGTTAAGTTTTGCATCTGTTTTTCTTTTCGAAAGGTGAGAGTATAATAGCAAAGGTGGGCAGAAGATGCCTAATGTTGCTGGACAGTATGGCGTAAACAGGTCTACAGTAGGCCGCAGTTCAATCTTATTTAAGAAAAATACTGTATAATCCAGAAGACTCAAGCAGCTAAAGGAGTAACAAAAATCACATCTGAGAAATAAACAACAACAAAGAGTTCATAATGGAACCTGAAACGGATCTGACGACAGAAGAACGCTAAGAACTCGTGAATGAAGAACAAGAATCGGCGAGGTATGTTTTCTTCTGAAAAAGAGGATTAATGCCGATATCTGTTATTAAAGATCCTTTGAAGAAGTGGGAGGATGTCAGAACAACGGTCTTAGAATGGCATCTAAACCAGGTTGAGACTTGGGGATTTCTACAATTGCAATGCTATTAATTACTTACGAAAAATCCTGAAGAGAGAAAAGCAACCGACATTAGACAATTCTTTAACCATTTCAAACGGAAAAAAACATGACTAATAAAAATGCAAGACTGTGTATGTATGTATTTTTATTATTACATAAAAAATATATACTTTCTTACTACGTTTATTTATATTTTTGGGGGTCTCCAGAACGAATTAATTAAATTCCCATAGAAACCTATGGTAAATCAATAATCGGTTAACGAACAATTCGGATAGCGAACAAAGTCTTGGAACGGATCATGTTCGTTAACCGATCACCCACTGTATATTATATTTGGATCAGCTGGAGATGAGTTGGTTTGTTTTCCTATTTTTTTTTTCTTGTTCCAAAAATCTGGCTAAGCCTTTTTGCTTATTCGTATCTTTTCTTTTTTTTTAAACTTTCTGGGTTATTCCAAGTTTGTGGTAAACTTGCTCTTGATTCTGTTTTTTCTTCTTTACTAATAAAAAGTAAAACTTCCTGCATGCTTGCATCTAAGACAGCTTTGCATGAGCAAAAAGCATTAATCATTTTCCATTGGTCATTAAGCTGAAAAAATAAATATATTAACTCGATGACCATATATTACTATGTTGATTCTTTTATCATTTCCGTTACATCCTATGTTGATGACAGCAAATCTTGCATGCACTTTTTGCAATAGACATTAAAGAAATTTTTAAAATATTTGCATTAATGTTTTTATTTTAAACATAAAACATACATTTTTATAAAAATTATATTTTTTAAAATGATCAAAAGAAATGTAATACAGTAGAACCTCGAAAACTCGGCAATCCGGATAACTCGGCCACACCTTGGCAGGGCGAAAACGAACTTAGGCGAACTTAACTCTCCCGTTTAAACTAAATCTTTTTATATAGAATGAAGATAGCNATTACGCATTTCTTTAAAAAAAAGTAGCCAGTTTTTGAAAAGTCGGCTAGATAATTTCATTGTAGACAGCTTTATGCTTTTCTGAGGTCTGTCTTATCAAGTAAATTACCGTACACTGTATTCATTAATTTTCATTTTCATGTAGTAAAGGCTCTATGCCTTCATAAAGTACGTACTTTTCCTTTGTTTAAGGGTATTTGGGCAGTTTATTCTCTGTTGTATTCTCAAGTTAACAATACATACAAGTACAGTACAGTATTTTCTGAGGAAACACTCATACTTATCCTTTTTTAACCCCATTCCCGATAACCCGGCATTTTCGCAAACTCGGCCACCCTTCGGTCCACATTAGGCCGAGTTTTCGAGGTTCTACTGTATATTGATAGATGATTAACTTTCCTTAAGGCAACTGTACTGGAATTTGTTAGCTATATTTATGTAGGTATGTGCATTTGTGGAATATCTTTACAAAAGCTGTATATTTTTGAATTTTTTGAGTAACATTATGAAAATGGCCTGCATATTTTAATTTTTCCCTGCTCTAAACGATTTTCTAGAAAAAAAAATCTTCAAAAGTGAGTTTTAAGAAATGATTATTTCCTATGTTCATAATACCTAAGTAAGTATACATGTTGTAATTAAGTTTTTCAAATTTTCACCACAATTGGGCACTTTACAGTAGCGCCATCTGATTTAGGCAGGAAGCATATAGCATGGCTTAAAGAAGTAGGATGATCTCATGGCATGCACGGATTATGGTTACATCACTATATAAATGGTCGTTCAATTTTTAAAATAAAGCAACGGTATTTCTAATTTATACATTGTTGTTATTCAAAAAAGGAAAGAAAGAATAAATTGTCAGGAGAGGACCTGACAAGGCAATTGTGGTTAGGCAAGTTAGATTGTAAGATTTTGTGAACTTTTGTAAATACAATAGTTTAAATTCATATTGCTTGTCGGTTTTATAGAAATAGTTCCCAAATGTTGGGAAAGTTGTTTTGTATATACTTGTTTTGGTTTTGAACTATAAAATTCTCAAGCGATACTTTATCTAACCTGTACTGTTCCACTTTTTCCAACAACTATATATAGTTGGTTATAGAATAATAAATATAATTCTTTTTGATTACCTATAGTCAAGTATTTATTGCGGTTTGTAAGTACATTAATCCATATTTTTCATGTTTGCCTGTTTGAAAAGTCCATGCCAAACACCAACTGACCTCGTTATCATTTTCTTGTTCATGCAATGTCATCCCATTAAGTAATTTCTGAGCTTCGAAAAAATTAAACATTACACCAATTTCATTTTTCCTAGTTTCCATTCTTAATATGAATGAAAAGTTGATTTTTTAATACAGAACTTGCCAAATTTTTTGTAATTTTCTTAATTTTGTAAATTTGAGAAAATAATCATACATTTGATTTATACATTAGTACTTATATTCTGAATTTATTTTTATAAGAAATTTATGGCATCTGATGATAGTATTGTGTTAATACTGTCATTTCTAAACAACATATATGATATCATCCTATCTAAATAACACACAATATATGGACAGTGCACATAAAGAATAAACTCAAAAACAAATTGCTTCAGATAATTTTTATTTTTGGCTTTTGGCAACATTACCACAAAAGATTACGTGCACATATATATTTTACATAAATAATTACCATACACAGCAACTAATACTGTCGATTTTACACTCATTGTACAGTAAGAATGTATAGTTCATAGCTGACATGAAAAATTGATCATCACATTATGACAGCAATGAATTAACAATGCAAGGCACTCGTACATACAAACAAATCATGCATGCTTTCAGATATTCATATTATTTTTGTACATATAAATTCTCTTTTATTTTTATTAGCTTATATTTTACATAACTTTTATTGCCAAGGGATTAAAAACCCAAAATTTATTCAGATTTATTGTACTTACAGTACATACATGCTCTTCTAATTGACAGCATTTGCTTAAAAAATCAAATAATTTAAAACTTATTTCCAGATCATTTCTCAGTAAAAAGAACATGATGGAATAAACTGAATTTTAATTATCCATGTCATAAGCATATACTGTACTGTACAGAAGCACTATATTTACATCATTATTTCAAGGAGAAATTCAGTAGATGTAATTTAGAAAGTACACCTGACTTTCATAATTTCTTATAATTTTCACACACAAATGATGATGCATATTTATTGATAATTCATTAACTAATATATTATAAAAAAGTAAAATCAAAAAATCAATTCTTGTCAGATGGGTTTGTTGAATTTTTTCTATCACAGCATTGTAAGACACATTAATTGGAAAACTGTCTTAAATTTTATTCGAATTAAGTGCAATATATAGTTTGTGTGCAATCTCTAAAGAGTAAAGAGTGATATGACAACTGTCACTTATAAATAAATAACTTAAATCCTTAAGAATAAATATCAGTTTCTTTCATATTTAAAAATTTTTGTATTAGAAATTTGTAATAAAATTTATGAATTACATTTAAAAAGTATCAAAGTGATTTCTATATAATAATACATTAAAAACTAAAAATAAAATAAAAAATAATAATTAGTAAAGTAATCAAATATAATAAAGTTTTAAATAGAGAAAAAGCATTTTCTTTTAAAATTGGAATGGTTTACTCAAAAACATTCAGACAAATTTTACCCATTGTCAATGACTGCATAAGAATGAATCAAACTGCACTCTGTTTTAATAAAGATATTTGACTACCTGTATCAGGAAAATCATTTTGGTCAGTCTTTTCTGGAGGTATGGTCAAGAGACATGGAGTAGAAGCATTAGCACTAGATTTACTGCTTAAAGAGGTGTCAGCTGTTATTTCGTACTGCACGGTAGCATCTGTCCCCGAAGCAGCGGTCTGTATTGTTCCTGCTGTAATTATAAAGATGCAATCTAATAAATCATGCATAAAGGAAAAATAAAAACTCATGCAGAAGCTACATCAAAAATTATGCAAAGAAAAACTTTTAAAAATAAATTGTTCTATTAAAATGTAAATTAAATTTATTATAAATATCTTAAATTAACAAACAAAAAAATTATTATAAACTTGAATCAAAATAATCACAAAACAAACTTAATATTTAAAAATAAAGGTTTAGCATATATCAATTACCATATCTTTCTTCATTTCTATTTTAAAATTACATGTTGAAGTAAAATAAAAATAATAATATGTATAAAAAAAATATAATTTGAAAAATAATTATAAATTCTACATTTTCATACACAAGCAAGCAAAATAATTGCAAAACTCAAGCTATATAAAATTTAGAAATAAAATAACTAAACAAAGCAGAATTTTTAAAAGATATTAAAGGACAAGACTTAACAATAGTGGCTTAACTGAAACAAATCTTTCCTCCTGATAGAATCCAGTATATCTTGAAGCAGCATCATTTATAGACAGTCTTTCAGGAACTAAAGTTAACTTATGGCTTTAAAAAAAGGCATCTGAAGTCTCATACAGTCAAGATTATTAATAATACCATAGTTTCACGTGAATAGAAACATCTTGTTTACCAAATGAATAATGTTATTGGAGTTAAACAATGACATGACATAAGTCATCTTAAAAATTGTTTTTCTTCTTTTCTAAAATGTTTATTAAGTACTTAGGCCTTATATTATGCTAATTACAGAACTTATACAGGAGAAAACTGATTCTATAAATAAAATGAAAGAGCTTTTAAAAATACTTAAGTCATTAAAGTCATTAGGAAAATGCATGACTTATTTTAGAAGTATGCTAAAGAGCTTGTAATGAAAGCAGTGTGTTTCCTAACATTTCCATATGTAAAGTAATATTCCTCATACATCTCAAAAAACTTCATTGTCTTCTTTATAGAAGAGAATCACATATCTAATCTTCAATTTAACAGACTCTGTCAACATAGTTTGATGGAGTCCTTTTTCTTTCCATACACCTCCATTACAGCAAATTCACTATTAAAAAGTGTCTTCATTAGTAAGAAAACATACAAATATATCTATTTGTATGTTTTCTTACTAGTCTTGATTCATTTTAAATCAAGACTAGTAAGAAAACATACAAATAGATATATTTAGCTACTTCAGACATATCTTAGACTTCAATTTTTAAGCCACTGGTATTGAAAAAAGTTGCATGAAATGACTGGAAACAGCCATTTTTGTTGTGTTTCTATTCACAGGGTGAATACACCCCATGAATTCAAACTCATTACACTCCAAAAGAGATCAATGTTTATATAAGAAGCATTCAAAATATGAAAGATTTAAATATAAATTTGATGAAATGATAATAGGACAGTACTCTAACAAGTTTTTATTAGAGCAAGTCTCATAACACCTAACAGTAAAGTTTGTCAAATATCAAAAGCATATAAATGATCAATAAACCTCAAATTACACTATATACATTGATTATGTCATCAAAAAGTTTTTCAGATACATATTGTTCCAATCATACACAATAAGGAAATTCAGACAAACTCAAAAATCAAGGAATACTTTATTAAAATTTGAATGATCATAACTGAGGGTTTTATTAAACCAGGCCACAGTCTTGAAGATCTTATTTTATTTAAATTTTGATTAAGATAATTTTTTTTGACAATAATAGTGTAGTTTAAGTATATTTCACTATAGAAAAAACTTTATTACTGTAAGACAATTTACACCTGATTAAAGTAACACGTGGAGAAGTTAGAAACAAGCAAATATCATAGAAAATATGTAAATGTTTAATATTCTGAAATTATAAACATATTTAACAGCAGCATTCAGAAAAATCCAAGTTTCCAATTTAATTTATTCATATCATATACAGATGCACATATATATTTTATTTTAATTATACATATAAACTATAGTAAAATCATCCAGCATAAAAATCAAAAAATAATTTTCATGTTTAAAAAAATTGTTATTTGTAATTATTGTAATGTAATATTTAAAATTTTATTATTTTGAATGTAGAACTGAGTTTTTGACAAGCAAATCCTAACTAAAATATTTGATTTTTTCCATAATGAAGTTATTCTACTTTCCGGAGTATAATTCATAATTTCAAGATTATAATTATTAAACACTGAAATTTACATTAATCTTTCTTCTACTGTAATTTTATACAGTTCTGGTAAAACTAATTAAAATCAGAAGCTATTGTTTTTCTTTATCATTCTGAAATTTGGATATCACTGCAACATGGAAGCATTTAAATCTTAAACAATTACAATAACTGATAACAGAAAAAAACATTACATTACATAAAAATAATTTTCAATACAGTTTCAGTAAAGAAAACACTATAAATGAAAAAATAAACATTCAGTTGAGATGTTAATTTCATCATATCTTGCAAAAATAGAAATATGATCTATTAAAATTATATAATGTATTGAAAGAATAATTTTAAATGAATACTAATAATAATACTTTACATTTTATTTTATAAACTAACCAAAAGTATTAAATAGAAAGGATTTTATTTATCTACTGTATTTACATAAGTATGATGTTCCAAATTCATTAAGTTCTCATTGCATTATTCAATATCAAATGTTTCCTTGAGGAATTTATTTTAATGTATATAGAACAAGATAAGATTGATTATAATTAAAATCAAGCAATAACCAAACTAATAGTCTTATCAAATTTCTAAATAGAAATTAATTGTAAGTCAAGTCTCTAAATGATGGATTATTTTAGGCTATATTTTGGCTAACTAGTTAACCTAGTTAAATAAAATAATCAAATCTAAATGCCAGAACTAGTTATCATACAATTCAGAATTGGTTTAATTCACACAAACATATTTTTTTTTATATTTCTAATTAAAAATTAGCTTAATAAAATCTGGCAATTTGGCTGTCATTTAATTTTGTTTTTGTATTTTAAAATTCTATAAATAAAAATAAATTAATTCAAAAATTTGTAGTTTGTATTTCATGATTATAAAATTTTAATTTCAGTTCATATCTTTCAGTTTCAAAAATATATATATGCATATAAAATTAATCTAGTGATTATTCAAAAAAATAATTTTAAGACATTACAAAACATTGAAGTTTATACACATTAAGATATTATATATCATTTTAATGGCAAATACATATTTATAAAGCACTTTATATTCATATAAAACAATTTCCTAAAGTCATTGTTAAAATTTTACAATGTAATAATACCATATAACCATTAAAGAAAATATTTGTTCCAAAATAATCATTTCAATCTATCACCATTTGTAACAATATTCACATTTCAATACAACATGAAATATTTATTACATTCATTCCTATTCACTACAAGGTAGTTTTAATCTATAAAAATATATTAAATTTATTATTATTATATGTTTTTATCAAGTTCAGATTTAAGAAATTCATACTGCTTTACTAGATGAATGCTTCTTTATATGACCTATAACATGTCAAAGTTTTTATATGAAAAATATTTACATAAATATATCTGAAATATTTTAATGTATTAAAACTGCTTATTACATTTTAATTAAATTTATTTAATATTGAAAATAAAACAAAATTATAGCTGTGAATATCTTTATTTTTGTCTATATCCATATTACTTCTATAGAAAATAACAATGAAAAACATCCAGTATAATTAAAATGCTTATAACATTCATTCTTAAATTTTAAAAACTGGTTCATTTGTACATTAATAATTATTACACATAAAATTTTAATCTATAAATGACCTACAAAAAGTAGAATGAATGAGTGCATTTACTTAGTATATAATAAAAATTATTTCCAAAATAAATGTTTTGACAATTTAAATTTTCATCATATTTCATATTACTTAAAGAGCAGTCATTTGTTTTAAATTCATATTTAAGTTATATTTGCAATGTATACATAATTTTCTTCACATTCTAAATAAATATAATACAAGCTTCACAATTTCATTGTTTTTCATAAAATACTATTCCAAATTGTTTTCTTCTATATGATTCTTCTAGTGTGCTAGAACAATTATGTTCTGCAATCACTATGCTGCAGAAAAATTATTATTAAGATATGATTTCTTGTGATTCTTATTAATTTATATCAAGAACTGATTTACTCTGTGCTTCAGTATTGCAGCAATTAAATCCGAAGATGGTAAAGACTTTTTTAGTACAAAATTAATTATTAAAATTTGACATTTCATTTTTTGCAAGCAATTGTTACAAACTTCAGAAACTTGATATGAAATTTGTTTAATATATGCAGTACAATATATGGTAATATCAGAAACTATTCTTTTAAATATAATAATCTGTTGATAATTATATCTCCTATTCAATGTGTTTTAATTTAATTAATTAATTTAATTTAGAAACTATATGGATATCATTTCATAATTCAAAGTTACAAAATTGCAAGTTCACACATCTTGCACTACTTTCAGTCACTGAGTATAAGTGAATGAATGTGCATATATATTTAAAATTTTTGACAAGACTATGTCTTGTCTCTAAAATCATGCTGCTGTCTACAGATGCATGCACACCTTAGAGGTATGAAGTAGTACATGTCAAAAGTTGCAATTTGGCACAGAGTATTTGGTGCCCAAATCATGCGTACATAAAATAAACCAGACTTGTAGGTAGTCAGGGAACAGATAACTGGATCAAAAGAAAATACGAAATACTGAGACCATTTCTACAAACAGGTGTGAGTGGAAGATTTTCACGTGTTGCTCGCGCTCTCCGAGACAGTCTTGTCCCAAAAATGGCTTGGCCATTTTACTTTTTTTTTTAATAATTTTAATCAATTATATATACACATGCTACTATTTTTATAAGAAAAATATCAGCAAAATATTATTTATAATGGTATTTTCACTAATTATTCATCTGAATTGCTATTACAAAACACTCAC